AAATATTAAAGTATCATAAATTAATAATATCGCAGAATTACAATTACACAAACTTTAAAGCGCCAGGTTGGACTGCCTATACTAAAACACAAGTAAGATCATTATATTTAAGATTCAGCAAAAGATAATATAGTTTTTTCCCACTTAGGCCATTTTTATAGGTTTAAAATTTGACTTCCTGATTGGCTAGATACCGTTTGACCTCGCAGCTTTAGGATTCGTTCGCTTTACGGCAGGCGGGTACTGCAAACCTCCGTTCAAAGTGTTTCCCTTCCCAACGGAATTGAAAAATAGTGAAAGGTGAAGGCGATGGGCAGGATTGATCCACAGGAAGGACGAAAAAGATAACGTTTGGCGAAATCCCGAGTTTGCGGCGAACATTCTGTATGTGGAGCGTGATCTAAGCAAAATCCTGATCCCGCTCAACCTTGGTTACGAATTTAAAAAGTTAACGCCAAACACACCTTCCACTGCAAAGCGACCAAGAGGTGATGTTGCTGTAAACTCGAAACAAGAAAGTGCGAAGCTCAGCCTGTTTGTTTGTACCTCTCGCTTAACAAATTTTGCTTTGATGGCGCTCCACATACAAAATGTTCGCTGCAAACTCGGGATTTCGCCAAACGTTACACAGGACGGACAAAAAAGGTATCAATACTGCCCATCACCTTCACCTTTCACTATTTTTCAATTCTGTTGGAAAGGGAAACAGTTTGAATGGATGTTTGCAGTCACACAGATCTGATTCCCTTTTGTATTTATGGCGTTCGCAAACTTCCAAAGCCCGTTTTCCGCTGTTAGGACATCCAACAACCACACAATAACAATGTCCAAATCTAAAATATGACAATATCAGAACCAGAAACAAAAGGTTCAATATGGTTCAAAAGACTGGCTTTAACAATAGACGCATCCCACTGAGAAATCAAACATGGCAATTTGATGCTCACTTTTTCGGAGGATCCTTGCCAGTATGAATTGCGCGATGACCTGAAGTCCGAAATTCAGGCTCTATTCACGGTTACCTCACAAAACCGGACAACGTTTGGAAACATGAGGATGATGACTTCCTTTAGGATCTGTTTGTGATAGTAACAAAATCTGGGAAAACTGAAAAAATAGCCCAGTTTTCTTCATCTAGATGTAATTGTATCCTTCCTTTTTCACTTTTATAAATTGCTTATTAATTTGTGTATTAAATTGTGAATCGGGCCTGTTGCTTGAATATTGTTATAGGGATTCTCCATAAAAAAACTGAGAAAATGAGATATTCACTGTCTGGAGCTGAAGAAGAGACGAGATGATTGTGAAACTATGTCTGAAATCCCACAATGTAATGATATCATAACATAACTCATAAACAAACCTTGGGATGGGCTGTACAATGTAACGTAAAATATTACAATTATTTGACCCAAGCTCTAATAAATAAATACGAACTGATGAATAGAGTCGTCTGTGTGTCAACAGTTGGTTCTTTTTACAGTTTAAGTACTTGACACGATGACTTTCCATCTCTATCCCGAGATTTATTCTGACAAAGATTTGCATGTTATTAATGAGCAGGAACTTCTGGCCTATTTTCAGCACAGTGAGTGATTTTAAAAAGACATATTCAGTGTTTGACTTGGATCAGACTCACTGCTCTCCATTACGTTTGAACAAAGAAACAAATGTACGGACACACAAACAGAAAGAACCACAAGCCCCCCCCTTTCACAGAAGATATTAGTCATATTTCTTCTGCAAACATATATGGAAATGTCATTTAGAGGCAGAAGCAACACAGACACTCTCATTCATAACAATTATAACCTGAACTAATCCCATATTACGGTATTTTCTGATCTTACATTTACAGTAATAATGTTGTTTCCTCATCACAAACAGACCTCGAGTTGTGTTTTGTTTCATTCACACATTTTTAACACACAAACCCTGCATATTTAGGCTACGTTTATATGAAGACTGAACAGAAGACACAAAAATGGAATTGCATCTTCACTTTTCATTCCGCGTTTAGATGAGCGTTTCAGAAAATCTGCGTACATACTGTGACACAAAAGTGTGTGGAATTCGATTGGGTATGCATGCCAGGAAGCTCGGTGGTGCTGCGTACATGTGAACAGATGTGACCAGAGTTTTGCGTCTTGGGCAGTGTAGACGGAAACGCTACGGCGGAGTGTATTCAACTTTTCCACTCTGGAAGGTGGTTTCAGATTTTCGTGTTTTTAAGCCCATATTATTCCAATTAAATGCTACTTGTATGTGATCTCCAGTGTGAACTTTAAACACCCCAAAATTGTCCCGCATGCGCACTGGAGGACACAACAACATCACAAACAGCGAGCGTGCTCAGAGTTTGCGGAAGTCTCCTAAACATGGGTGTGAGCATTGAGCACCTGGAGATTTTGCTTATTTGTTTTAAGGAGGAGATTGAGAAGGAGAAGGACGAGGTTTTTGGCCATGGGGTTTTGTGGGGCAGTGGTAGCAACGTCCATAGAAAGGAACGTGTGGGTGTGGAGTCAAGGCCAAGAGTGGTGGGATTGTGATGTGCTTCACTGTTTCACTCACACAGAGTTCATATACAATTTTCGTATGACAAGAAGAACGTTTGTGAAGATTTTTGAGCACCTATTTGTATCACTCTCACAGGAGGAAACACATCTTTGGCGGCCTATTTCAGTGAGCAAAAGTGTCGTTGGTGTTGGGCGGCATTGGCTCAGAACAGGTGCTTATTACCACACAATGCATTCAGACTGAAGTCGCATGTCAAAAGATCGGATATGTATCGGTTTTAGGAGCACATATCCAAGTGTCCTGGGTCGCATTTGAAAAAAATCTGATCTGTGTCGTTCAGGCTGTCATTAAAAGATCAGATACAGGAGCATAGGGGCGAAAAAATCTGATTTGGGTCACTTTGTGCTGCAGTCTGAACGTAGCCTTAGTCTAAACCACAGTAGTTTGCGTATAAAACTCACTGTATAGGCCTAAAAACATTGAGTCTCTGCATGGGAATGTCAACACAGACTCCTTATACAAGTATTGCTCTCTAATATTTGAACAAGCAAATTATCTGGACCTTGTTTCTGTTTCAATGGATTCTTTATCTAAAAGAAACTAAGGAACATGAGAGGAAAAGGCTGTTTTCCTCAACACCTTCACTAGAATCATTTGGATAACTTCAGATCTGAATTGTCAATTTCTACTGAACTAAAAGTAAAAAGCAGCTGTTGACTTGAAAACTACTAACACATGACATCACAAGGTGGAACAGAACATTTTGAGCTTTAGAAATGTATCAAACTATTAATAAAGGGTTACTCAGACGTGTGAATGAAACAAAACACAACTCCAGGTCTGTTTTTGACAACGGAACAACATTATAACATGACTTAAAGCTCACAAGAGTTTGCCTCATATAGGACACATAAAAATAGAAACCTGTAAATGTGATACAAAAGGTATTCTGTCTGAAAAGGGGGAGCCAGTCGGTTTAAACTAGTCTGGTATTTCTATATGAGGAATGTTCTAGTCCAGAGGCCCCAGGGGAGAGCTCTATGCATTAGAATATGAATGGCGGTCCATCACATTCTCCAGGCCTTCAAGGTAACTGCATTTAACAGGCTCAAAGGCAGGATTAGCCACCCTGAGCTGCACAGACTTAACCCCTACTGTGCCACAAACTCCCCTAGAGCAGAGTTGCCATATCTGCTTCTTTTCAGCAACTTTGGATCTCTATTTTTGGAAAGTTGCTTGCAAATTTAGAGAGTTGCTGCGTTTTCATATCACAAATGTGCCTAAGATGTTTTCAGTTCATTTTCAGATTGATAACCCCAATAAATATAAGATGTTAATATTTTAAAGGTGGATTGTGTACAAGGGCGTAGGTTTGCATAGGGACAGTGGGGACATGTCACAACCAATATTTGGGGAAGACAAAATAGTCCCGACCAATATTTGCCATTTTATTTTAATCAACAAAAATATGAATTTATTACGATATTTTTCCAAACTCAGTAGTATTAATTGAACACGTTTTAGTTCACATTTTGTTTATTAGATGGTCAGTGATATGACGACAGGGTTACACCTGCCGCTGTTTCATTGGCTGCAACAGAGTGATGTCATTAGTGGAGCCAGGAGCCTAAACTGGGGAAGCGGCAGGACAGGGCCGCACCTGAAGATGTCGGCTTGAGCAGCATGAGTGAAGATGCTGCACCAAACTTTAAAAAACTTTTCAAAAGGGACTTACTCGGCTTCATCTTCAATTAAACTTGTCTTATAATGAGTTGCTGTGGAAAAAGAGCAACTATCACCACAAGTGCACCTCCCAAACGGAGCTCTACTTGTGCACTGTGAGCAGCCCGACTCTACTGACAATATTCCATGTAAAAATGTAAAAATGTTTTGGACATTACCTCACAAATATCTCATCGCCAACAGGCAAAGCAAAATCTTCTAAAAACTTCTACATTGCTGTTATCCACTAAAGAATCATCTTAGAAGGACAATGGACACAAACAGTACAGTTTGCAAACTGAAAAATGAAACCACCTCTCACTTCAAACCTATGCCCTTGAGTGTGTAACTTCTTTCACAGTATTGTATAAAACCTTTTTGTCTTCTTGGAGGCCAAACCAGACCAAGTTACAGGTCAGATCTATGAAGAGGCAACCCCGCTCACAGTCAGAATAATGTTTTTTTCTAAGTATTTTTGACCTATAAACCCATCTGTAATTGAATAAATGTAAGGTAGAGCTGTTTAATGTCACACTGTGGAACATTCCAGGCAGAGAACTTTGCGGAAACACCACTCCGTTGCTCGTCATGGTGTTCTACGAACGAAAACTGCATAATGCACAGCTCCTCGTTATTTAACGCTTACTTAAAGGCCCAATCTGGCAATCCTGCTCCTGTAGTTTATGTTAGTACAGCTTTGCACACTTTCGCACTAAACAAAATGAAAAATAAGAACATGGTGACAGAGTGATTGTACTGACCGTCCTCGCTGGTGTGAGCCTCTGTCCCTCCCTCGTTGTCAACCTCCTCCAGGGCTCCGTGCTCGCTGTACGGGCTCTCACTGTGAAACAACACAAGACCGTCACCGCAAAAGGTCAAACATTAGTGGGAATCTATTGCTGAAAAATGGTTATCTCTGTCCTTGTGGAGGTCTGAGTGATAATTTCAGAATACAAGGATGATGGACAGTTTTTTATCACAAGAAGAGACACAATTTTCACAAGATGAGATGAGATACTGTACGAGATTGGGTCAACAAGAATGAGAGAAGATTTTAACACAGTTCCTAATATATAAATTTCACAATCCATTTTCCAGTTTTGGCCTCACAGTTTTTATTCATCGGATTTCATATTTTTCTTTCCATTCTAGTGCTGCTTTTCAGAACTGTAATAGATATAACTCGAGAACACATAACCATTTTTCATCCAATTGAAATATAATCACTTGGGAAAAAATCTCACAAGATCATTTGTCTCATGTGTGCACGATCTTGTTAGCCTGATTCATCAGCTGGTTTCATTTAGAGGAAACTGTCTGACCTCGCAGCATTAGGATTCATTCGCTCGGCAGTAGATGGGTATTTTTTTTATTTAACCAATCGCTGCAATTTGGTCGTGACGTATGTAATGCGCCAAATCCTGTAGGAAGAAGGGCAATAACGTCTTTCCCCTTGATAAAATTCACCAAATATTCTCTTCGTTCCGGCTTTAAATTCTCGATCTCTGGAATAGTTGCCAATACAAAAGGTATGTCTTCGTCTAGATCCATCTCAACCGCTTTGTTTACTGTTGTGCTGAACCACAAAAGGGACCCAGACAGAGGCTTGAATTTGACGTCATGGCTTCACAGCTCTTGCAAACCATCGAGTGTATTTTGATTTCTGACCTAGTCGCTGGAGAGAAATGAAATTGAGTAGAGGCACTAGGTGGTGCCAGCCTGACTACGATCTTGTTGCAATTTTATCTTGCAAGATCTTGTGGCACGAGCTCTTCTACCATCTCTACACCTAGACCTCATGAAATAATGTAGAGCTGTGCTTTTCTCTCAACCAGATATAAGAAAATAAAAGTTTGAATTTTTGGCTTGTTCAGCTGTTGTGACTCTTGGACCAATCAGATTCAAATGTTGCGATGACACTCCGAGTTTTCCGATCTCTTTCAGCGATTTACAGATTGATGTGTAGAACTGAACCACGTTATGATTCATCGTAATTTTAGATTTGATTAAATTGGTCTTATTAAAACATTTAAAGGTGCATTGTGTAACTTTTCCGGTGGAGGGTTCGTCAAATTCTTTTCTTAATGCAGATGTTATTGATTTGTCTAAAATGTTTCACAGTCTGGTAGTAAAGTTTCTATCTTCATGGAGACCAAAACCAGACCAAGTTACAGGTCAGATCTGAGGAAAGGCGACTCCACTCACAGTCAGAATGCCTGTTTTTCTAGGTATTTTTGAGCTATGAAACCACCTGTAACTTAATAAATGTAAGGTAGAGCTGTTTAATGTCATACTGTGGAACATTCTACGCAAAGCAATGACATATCCACACAAACAAGCAGGTGAAGGACCTCTAAGCAAAAATTTTGTTTGTCTACATCTCCAAACATGTGGCTTTAAAAATGTCTTTCAATCTTAACTACCATAACATAAACAATTAAGATCATTATTTAACTCAAAAGAACAAAAAAGCACAACAAAAACAGCGTAATTTATTCCACCAAAGTCTGAACTCTGCTCCAAACCACATCCTTTCACCGAATGCAGACCTCTTGATTAAAAAGGCCCAATTCGATCACTGACAATTAGAAATTAATATTTGATTCATTGCACAGCCGCTGAAAGTTGCAGCAGTCCCCACAGCAAAGACAGACTCCAGAAGACACTCATTAGCTTTAATTAGAGGTAGATTTTGAGAACACTAAGTGGATGATTACGCATGTTCAGCAAACTCCGGGTTTAGCTCGGTTGACCGCACGTGCTCCACATCCTCTGCTCTTTCCAGGTGACTTCTTCTTCCTTTTTTTTTTCTTCCCACAGTTATTTATTAGGTCATATTATTTAGACCAAGCAATGCGCAGAAAAAGGTACGGCCCCCTCCCAACCTGACCCTTAAAACTAAAACGTCGCCCCCAAGCGCCCATTTACCCATCCAACCCCGTGACTTCTTCTTCCTCCCGGTGTAATTGTGTGATTACAGTGATTGTTTCAGTCTGTTTCACGCAGATAAAGAGCCCTGTGTAGAAGCAGAGTCATGTTCTTCCACAGAGTCATGTTATTCCACAGATTACTCAATTGATATTTTGCGGTTACATCACGTTGGGGTGTTTTACATATATCTCTATGATGGAATTTTAACATAGCAACACAGTGCATACAGTAGCTGCCAGAAAAGTTTAAGATTGTCTGAAAACATGCTAAATTCATTTAAACATGTTTTCAGGAGCTTGAGATCAATATGAGTTCATGGAATTATAAGGTTCTATCTGACTTTTTTTTTTTATTTTTAGTTCCCCAAAAAACTTGTGTACACTTTTATCAAGACTTTGAAGAGACCGGTAATTTTAAAAAAAAATTTCTGCAAAAAACTGTTATTTTAAAATCTAGTTTCGTATGACTCGAGACTGGTCTTGGTCTCGTCTCGGACTCGAGTGCATTTGGGCTCGGTCTTGTCTCGGTCTTGAAGGCACTTGGACTCGGTCTTGTCGCGGAGTCGAGGTTTGAAACTCAATGAGAGTGACCATATTTTGCGGCAATTAGGAAAACAGGTTTAAAAATCCTACCCACTTTCTTCACTTTGAAGCATTTTTGTGCCAGTGGAAGTTGGATCAAAGAAAACTGCGGGTGAGGGTCCAAAAAGGGGGTTTAAGTGCAGTAGAGTTTTGGTAATCAGATAAAATGGAGAAAGATTTATAAAAACGTTGTTATATATGTGCCAAAATAACTGTAAAATCCAAATAAATGTTGAAAATGGTGAAAATGGCAAAGATGGTCTCGATTTGGTCTCAATGGGCCGTGGTCTTGATCTTGTCTTGGTCTCGACTCTCAGAGGTCTTGGTCTTGTCCTGGTCTTGGGACCCAGTGGCCTCAGACTGGTCTTGGTCTCGATTAGTGTGATCTTGACTACAACACTATAAAAATCTCAATATCTCAGAACTACCCATAATGCAATGCGCTTTCCTCTTTGCTCTACTGCAGGACAATTAGGACATTTGTTCTTGACCTCAAAATATAGTCTAACTTTGAACCTCAAGGTTGAGTTGTAAACGATAAGCAGCCAACATTACTAAAATAATGTTTAAAGAATGGCAGGTGATAGGTTTCACAATATGTACAAAAAATATCAGTATTTTCTCACCAATAGTCTCCTCCAGCCATGCACTTCTCGTAGATTGGCCCGTCCAGCTCTTTGGCGTCGGGGAAGATGGTTTCGTGGTGGATAATGATGGTCTTGATGATCTCGTTGACGTGGGCCTGGCATGAGACCTGGTCCTGGCAGTCTGGGGTGGGCATCAGGGTCGGACCAAAGCAGATGGCCAGATTATACGGGTCCATCATGTTTTCGTCACTATACTGGGACAAACTGGAGGAATAGAGAAAAAGAAGAAGGTCAAGGCTGTGGCTGTATAAATGAGAACAAGACACAGAAGACAAAACGCTAACTGTAGGCACTACTCTGTAAGAAGCTGTATCAGACTTTAATCTGACCATAAAGAACAGGACAATGAAAGGTCGTATTAATCACAGGCTCCTGAAAATGAGCTGTTTAAGTAAGTTTAAGTTTAAGTAAGTAAGTTTTGTAATTTTTCGAGTTTTCAGACACTGTTTCCTAATGTGTTTTCATGGTAACGCCAATAGAGATACCGTATTTTTCGAACTATAAGTCTCTTTTTTTAATGGTTTGGGTGGTCCTGTGACTTATACTCAGAAGCAACTAATAGGCGAGTTTCAGCTGACGTCATCATTATTAAAAGCCCGCGTTGCATGCTGGGAAATATTTTGGTCGAAGCCAAGAAACATGGTAGCGGTCAAACACAGTGCGTAACCTCGCGTATTTATCCCCGATAATGGTAAATTCCTGCTGCATTATCGGATGCACAAATAGAAGCACGGAAGAAGGAAAATGTCTTTTTTGTGTTCTGAGTGAAAAGAACCGCTAACGGCGAATTAAACGGCTTTCAAACATTCACAGAGCAAACGTAGAAGATCCTAGCAAACCGTGGACTCCAACAAGTTCAACAACACATCGAGACTCTTGGAGGCTTGCATCTTTTCTGCTGTGAATGGCCCAGGAGTTTCCACCAAGTAATTGTGGATATCACCGAAGTGAATATTTAGCCAGGTAGTTGCCGATTCTGACCAGAAATTTGGTTTGGTCCACCTTTTGTAGGGGTTGAAAAGGGTGATTTGGCGTCCGTTGATGCTTATGACCAATTTCTGGTCAAATCGTGGATAAATAACTGGGATCAATACCCTTTACGTGCTTTCTCACTCCGTCTGTCATGTTGAATTAGTGTTTATTGCCGCCGACCAAAATAATTCCCAGCATGCAACGCGTGCTTTTGTCAACAATGAAACTCGCCTATAGTTCGAAAAATACAGTACATGTAGAACACCCACAACATGATGTCATTGCAAAGTATCGAAAATCCACTCACTGGTTGAGGAAGGCAAAGAGGTAGCGCATGACGACCAGAACTGATCGAGGGATGGTCAGAAGGATCTTCCGGATGTACAAAGCTCTCTCATACAAGTTATCCACTCCTAAAATACAAAAAAAAAAAAAGAGAAACATTAGGAAGATAAGGACCACTATTACAGTAGTGTCATCAAGACAGTAATCTTCAACACAAAATAATAGCAGATTCTTTAATATTACCATGTGGTCTTATAAAAGTTGTGATATTAATCAAACTATTCAGAAATGGTCCAACTTTGTCCTATATGCAATTTCTTCCTCCTCACTTGTTCAAATGAGAATATGGTTTTAATAATAATTTTAGTATCCATCAGTATCCATTCAAAATGTAGTTAAATTTTATACGTATGACTGTGTAAATGGTTAATGGTCACATTTTTATACAGCGTTTTCCACCTTCAAGGCTCAAAGCGCTTTACAACAAGGATCCACTCACCCATTCACACACACATTCATACACCAGAGTACACAGACACTGGGGGCGAGGAGGGTCTTGCCCATAGACACAAGGACAGAATTAATCTGTGGGAGCTGGAATCACACCAGCCAACCTGCGGGTCAGTGGATCTGATTGCTCAACCAATGATGTTCATGTCAAGCTAAGTCTAAATGATTCTAGTGAAGATTCTAGTAATGGAGAACTTCCTGTATTACCACATGACGTCGCAAGGTGGAACAGTGTGTTTTCCGTTTGAGAGAAGAACTCAGCTTAAATATGGAGGAGTTTGTGTGTTAAAAATGTGTGAATAAAACAAAACACAATTCCTGAGTATGTTTGTGACGAGGAAACAATATTATAACATAAATCAGAAAACAGCGTAATATGGGCCCTTTAAGACACTTAATTAAACATACTATTAATTTGGAGTCTTTAAAACTGAACTCTATCTCTTCACTTCACTGAAAGCTTTTGTGTTTTGGGACAATCACATTTGTTCTGCTGCTCTTGTTTAGGTTTATTTTGTGGGGCTGGTGCTAAAAATAGACATGTCACCCTCCAGCCACGCTCCGCCATCTGGGATTTGAGCCTCTGGAAAAGCTGTGATTCATTTTATCTGGCGAATACCTAAAGAAGATCCTGCAGGGTTTTGAAAATGTGTTGCTTCCATAGATTTATGAAGGTTATAAATATAAGCAATACAGGGCTCAGCAAAAACAAACTCCTATAGCAACAGCCAAAAAAATACACTACGCTCAAAAGGAGAAGATGTGAAATTATGTTTGGAGGGCTGATATTGTACAGCATGTACTTTGAGTTGGCAAGTTTATAGCAGGTTACAAAGAGCGTCCTTCTATGCGCTTTTAAAGTAATTTCATGACAACTGGATCCTGGATGCTTTGTCTATAAACAGACGCATTATTTTAAAGGTCGTATCTTCCACAAAATTGATTCTGGAGAGCAGATCATCAACACATCACCAAAATGTAAAACTATTAATATAAACTTTCTAAAATAGTGGTCCCCAACCTTTTTTGCGCCACGGACCGGTTTTATATCAGACAATATTTCACTATTACATAAAATATTGGGGGGGCATGTCCTGGCGTAATCCTATTTTAGTTCTGTTTTAAACTTGCTTTAGTCCTGGTTCAGACCTGGTTCAATTCTGGGTTAGCTCTGGTTTAGCTCTGGTTTAGTTCTGGTTTAGTGGTGCATCTCGCACGGCGTACGGGAAGGGGATGGTCCGCGAGGTGTAGGGGAGGGGGGACGGTCGGATGGTCCATGCAGCGAACAGGAGGGGGGATGTCCATGCAGCGTACGAGAGGGGGGACGGTCCACACAGCGTACAAACGGGGGACGGTCCATGCAACTTACAAAACGGGGGACGGTCCACGCAGCGTACGGGAGGGGGGACGGTCCACACACCGTACAAACGGGGGGACGGTCCATGCAACTTACAAAACGGGGGACGATCCATGCGGTGTACAGAAGGGGGGACGGTCCACCTGGCGTACAGAAGGGGGGACGGTCCACGTGGCGTACGGGGGGGGGGGGGGGAGCGGTCCACCTGGTGTACAGAAGGGGGACGGTCCACGTGGTGTACGGGGGGGGGGGGGGGGGAGCGGTCCACGTGGCGTACAGAAGGGGGGACGGTCCACGCGGCATACAGAAGGGGGACGGTCCACGCGGCGTACAGAAGTTGGGACGGTCCACACGGCATACAGAAGGGGGTGGTCGGCCCACACAGGATACAGAAGGGGGGGACGGTCCACGCGGCGTATGGGAGGGGGACGGTCCACCTGGTGTACAGAAGGGGACGGTCCACGTGGTGTACGGGGGGGGGGGGGAGCGTCCACGTGGCGTACAGAAGGGGGACGGTCCACGCGGCATACAGAAGGGGGACGGTCCACGCGGCGTACAGAAGTTGGGACGGTCCACACGGCATACAGAAGGGGGTGGTCGGCCCACACAGGATACAGAAGGGGGGACGGTCCACGCGGCGTATGGGAGGGGGAGGATGGTCAGATGGTCAACGCACGGTATGGGGGGGGGGGGGAACAGTCCGCACGGCGTACAGGAGGGGGGATTCGCATTTTCTCAGCCCGATACCAAACGATCCACAGCCTTAATACCCCTGGTCTAATAGATTTCCACACAGATAAAATACGAGCAGCTGTGTGAAATCAAATATTCTGTATGAAAAAGTGTAATTAAAGTGACATAAATGAGCAACAATTCATATTTTAAATTTGCTTTTAAAATGTTGACAATCATATACTACAGCTGACGTAAATAAGCAAATGTATTGATTAATTTAGTCGTTTAAGAAGCCAAAAGAAAAGAAAGAAAGCCATTTTTGGCACTGAGCCTACACTGTGAGCTCTGTGAGTGTTGAGTTGGGGAGTGTAAACACAGACTCCTCATCGCTCAGGCCTAAAAACATGTCCATGAACAGGCTGGATCAGAGCGGAGCACACTTCACACGCAGGAGACAGGCTGTAGGTACACAAACACACAGGTGCAAAGACCCAGAGGAAACTGCAGGACATGAAATCTACAGCAGCCTGAGAAGCACCAAGACACGAAGAAAACAAACCAGTCAAGCTCCTTATGCCTCAGTCTTCGGCCCTATTAACATCTATTAACTATCTGACCTTTAAATAAAACCGTATATAATCTGTTTTTCACAGTAATATGTCATAGTTGTGTTATTATGGAATGTGTAGGTTGTTGTCTAACTGAATGATTGGGGTGTGTGTTATGTTGGTGCAAATTTCTATTGATAATATCTGGGGATGTTTTTGTTATCTGTAAAATACCAAAACCAAGATTTTTCTATTTCTAAAGGAAAATTCTAAACTTAAATAGAAAGGGAAAAGTTCATTTCTAAACTTTATAGCAACTTTTCTCCAGTTTGTGACTTTTGCCACCTGTCTTAATGTCGTAATGAAAGTGTTATCGCTTTGTCAAGAATGTCCCACATGGCATTAAATATATCTATTTCAATGCCAAACTATTACTTATCTCAGGTAAAAGAAGTTATATACTGTAAAATACCAAATAATAGCCGGGATGTTTTTTTGTTTGAATAACTTAACAGACCGGGCATTTATTTGAGACCAGGACGCAATTTGGGGCAGGCGATTAATTCCTTCCTTGCAAAACTGGAAAAATATGTTACTCAAATTCTTTTAACCTGTATGACTATAATTTACAGTTATATACAGCAAGCCTCGGAGGAGACGTCGCCGTAATACGATGGCCTCGCAACTACTTTGCCTACTTTGTCGGCACAATTCCTTCCGCCTCTTCCCTTTGCCACAACTTTCCTCTTACGCCACAGGAGCTACGATAAAATTGCTGCTTCCTCCGAATTACCGAACTGAAGTAATTTTATCAAAACTCCTAAAAACTGCTTCCATTTCCTGCCCGCAGTGTTACGCCGTCTTTCTTTTTTACGTCAGTGCGAAATAGGGATTTTCAGTGAAGGTGAGGCTGATCAGAGAATAGAGCCTATCCATTCTGTCACACAACCAGCCTGGTAAAGGCAGAACTGAACTGAAGTCAAACTGTTCCTGTGTCGGCTGTAAACATCAGGCTCTCTGCGGTGTCACTGCACTAATCATCATATCTTCGTTAAATAAAGCACAAAAAACAGGAAATGGGAGTTCGAGCAGCTCCTCGGCAGCAGCCAGAACAACCGCTGGGGGTGTCGGCATAGGCTAATTCTATACAGACGTAGTACATTAGACTTGGCGTTTATTTGGAACTGGCCGTTATTTATCAAAATATACACTCGCGGCGTTTAAAGGGGACCCGGCGGTGAATTGAAACCCAGCTATTATTTGGTATTTTATGGTATTTGAGAGACACGCGTCACAAATTAGCAGCTGTGGTTGGAAGTTTCGACAGAGGATTTTGACGCTTTACAATTGTCCAGTTCCAGTTTCCTCTGGATTCAAACTGATTGATGAAGGGACTGGCTGGTGAGACAAGTCTGCGGTCACACTAATTAATTTGCACATAAACCTAACTCAAATTAACAAATGAATTAAAGAAGACAACATTAAAAGTGAGTGTGTCCTTACTGATGCAGGAGAGCAGTTCGTTGAAGCGCTCTTTGGGGAACAGAGGGTTCTCCAGGCCTCTGAAGTACAGTTTGAGAACTCCAGCCACTGAGTTTATGTCGTGGTTATTCTCTTCATCTGTCAGGGGGTCATTTCCTATAACACAAAAAGTAAGATTAATTAAAAAATAGAGAAATCGAAAGAACCTATATTATGCTATTTTGTGTTATAATGTTGTTTAATCATCACAAACATTCCTGGAGTCGTGTTTTTTGTTTTTTTTTTCACACAATTTAAAACACAAATCCTGCACATTTAGCCCTATAAAGCCTGACACATGAAATAATAGACAGAAAATTTTGATTTTAACTCTTTACTGAACTGAAAAATGATAATTATTACCATTTTATAAATAAAAAATGTATCATATTTGATACATTAGGCCTTCATGGACATTTTATAGAACCCAACCATGTTTATTTAGGACCTAACAAAATTGTCTTTGAATTTTTAGAACTCAGAGAAACTTTTCTGAACATTTCCTTTTATGTTTTTAAATGTCTGAACAGATTTCTTTTAATTTTTCCATGTGGTAGGTGAGAAAACAGTCTGGGTCCTTGTCCGAGCACAGATGTACATTACTTTTCCCACGGTACACGTGTGAAATGATTATAAATATAATGTCTACTCTGAGCCTGTTTTTTACTGAAAACCGTGGAAAGCTCACTAGGGGGCAGCTGATAATATTTAATTGTATACAACAGGTTTTACAGGAAAAATATTGATAATGTGGTTGGGCAGAGGTCTCAGAATGTTGAGGATCAAATATGATACAAATGGTTTTATAGGGTTAGGCTGAATTCTTCTCTCAGACAGAAAACGCTCAGTCATCTTGTAATGAATGAGTGTCATGTGGTAATATAGTAACTACACACACCTTCACTAGAATCATCTGGACAGTTTCAGCCCTGAAATTGCCAATCTTTACTGTTAAAATGAGCTGTTAACTTGAAAACTACCACTCACACAGAGCATTTTGAGCTTTGGAGATGTAGACAACCTAATAATAAAGGATTACGCAATCACGTGTTAATGAAACAAGACAACTCCAGGTAAGTTTTTGAGGAGGTAACAACATTATGACGTGACTAAAAGCTCACATTAGTCAAATTTATATTATTTTGGTCATTTAATGCTGATTGCTAAACTCTCTGTACCTCTTTCGAAGGAGTTTTTAATGTCGTTGACTTCCAGTTGCGACCCAGACACTCGGAATATGCCCTGATGTTGGAGACCTGTGGAGACACAAAACACAAAAGAGAGATTTAACAAAGAAAAAGATCAACTCTGGACTCCGCAAAACACTGCTTAAAGTAGCAATGTGTAACTTTTCTAGCGGAGGGTCCATCAAATGCTTTTCTCCATGGAGATGTTATTGCTTTTGTAGAACTTGGACCCTGAATCTGTAAAATAAAGTGATATAACACATTAAACCTTTCTATCTTCATGGAGACCAAACCAGACCAAGTGACAGGTCAAATCTGTGGAGAGGCAACCCCGCTCACAGCCAGAATATCTTTTTTCTAGGTATTTTTGAGCTATAAATCCACCTCTAATTTTATAAATACAAAGTTAGGGCTTAACAATTTTAAGAAAAAATTGAATTCTGATTTTTCTGGCAGATATTGCGATTTCGATTTCATTCAAGATTTTTTTTCTAGTGTTTTTGTAGGTATTTTTGAGCCATAAAACCACCTGTAACTGAATAAATGTAAAGTAGAGCTGTTTAATTTCACACTGTAGAACATTCCAGGCAGAGCAATGAAGTATCCATAGAAACAAGCAGGTCACAGATCCCCAAACCGAAAAGTTACAAAGTGCGTCTTTAAGCTCAACAACTAGCCTGATCATTAAACCCCATTCACTTTGCTAATTAAACATAATTAATGAGTGTGAAGAGCGACTGCAATTAGAATTGACTAAAGTCGACAAGGGAAAAGAACCGGGGTTGAACAGAAGATAACGAGACTGTCTGTTTTAAAGGGCCCATATTAACTTTTTTCTGATCTGTTATAATGTTGTTTCCTCATCACAATCATACTTGGAGTTGTGTTACTTTGAGTTCTCCTCTCAAACTGAAAACACGCTGTTCCACCTTGTGATGTCATGCAGTAATACAGGAAGTGCTGCACAGTGTTTTTAAACTCCACACACCTTCACTAGAATCATTTGGATAAGCTCAGCCCTGGAACTGCCGATCTCTAATGATGTAAAAGTAAAAGTTGGCTGTGAAAAGTACCACTATGTGACATCACAAGGTGGAACAGAGCATTTTGAGCTTTGGAGATGAAGACAGATTAATAATAAAGGGTTACTCAGACGTGTGTGAATGAAAAAAAAAACACAACTCCAGGTCCATTTTTGATGTTTTAACTACATTATAACTTGGCTTAAAACACACAAGAATCAATTTTGTGTAATATAGGATGTTGGAGCCATGCGCCTTGGGTGTGCGTCACCTGTAGAGGGCGCTGTGTGGTAGGCTACATTAGGGAGGACCCCTCCTGTGCTCCACAGGTGTTGCAATTCGGTGAAGCACACAGTTTGTTGACCACCATGCTTGGCGTCTTTGTATGATTTTAGATCCTTTTATACAGTAATGAATTGTTTTGACCATTAAAGAAGTAATAAAGAAACTATTTTATATTAAGACTGGATTTGATTACTTAGACGCCAGAGACAAGCGCGTCACTTACTTTCTCCAGACCAGCAACTCTGTGGTCCAAGTGGGATTTGGTCGCAACATAGGACCTTTAACTATCATGCATGGTCCTTTAACTACTATGAACACCATGGCTGTGTCTGCTAACATAGTGTATAAGACAAAAAGCACTTGAGCAAAACTGTATTAATATCTGTTTATAGTTGGAATTAAGAACTGAATGATATAGGAAAAATAACCAGTTGTGATTGATATTACATTTGCATAAACATTCGACAAAATGAATGCTTGAATCCCGTGTCTGTTAGGCCGGGAGCCAGGTTCACTCCTCAGGATGTTTTTGCCTTTTTTTCACTATTATTTCCTGTTATTTTATATCCTGGGCCATGACAAGTTGATAAGCTCCAACTCGGCCTCGTTTGGTCTCACTGCCCAGAAAACTAGCCAGGCTGGCACCACCTATTGCCTCCGCTCAATTTCATTTCTCTTCAGTGACTAGATCAGGAATCAGAATAAACTAGACAGTTTGCAAGAACCCTGGAAGTGTGAGTCCGGCCACCAGCCAATCAGCGAAGAGCCATACATTCTGTGTTGGCAATGATTCACAAGGTCAAGGATTTAAAGGTGGAACAAAGATAATATTTGGTGAATTTTATCAAGGGGAAAGACGTTATTGTCCTTCTTCCTACAGGATTTGGGAAAAGCTTAATATACCAGTTAGCCCCGTTAGCGGCGCATTACATACATCACGACCAAATAGCAGCGATTGGTTAATTTTAAAAAGTACCCGCCTACTGTTGAGCAAATGAATTGTAATGCTAGGTGTCTCCTGACACATGGGGGAAACTAGCAGAAAAATATTCCAAGGCTTGCTGCGTTTCTACTGTCAAATATCACTCTCAACAGACCCCAAAAGACAAAAAAATGTCTGTTCGCCTGACAAATTGTCATCAAAAATCTACATGTAAACACTCCAGGTAGCATCCATAGCAAGAGAAATTCATTCTATTCTGTCAACTGGACAAAAGTATAACTTTTAACAACTTTAAACATTGTCAAACTAAGTATAAATTATAGTCCAACTGCATTTTATCTTGCCATATTTGAAGAGTTTTTCCTTCCTCCTAATCAGCCTGGAATCTGCATTTTCCAGGGACCATGACTTCAGTGGAACAAAATACAACTCCAGTATTACAGAGGCTAATACCAGACAATTAACACCCTGCTCAGATGTCAGGCTCGAATCACACACAGACACACAAACGCACACACAGACACACACAGACAGAACACTTACTTAACACAGGATTATATAAAAATCACTTATTTCACCCCAGTCTCTTGCTATTTTTGCTCCTTATTTAGAATTTATTATCACCATTTATATTTTCTCTCTTTGTTATTCTAAAATATTGTGATGTGTGAGCTTCTGTGTCCAAATAATTTCCCTTGTGCATCAATAAAGTTGAAGTCTAAGTCTAAAACAGTAGAGTAAAAGCAGAACTCACCGTATAAATTAATGTAGCGGATGCAGCTCTCGACCACACGGGGGATGGCCTGTCCAGAATCCTGAAAGTCATGTTATCAAATAGTCAACAACAGAATCATTTACAGCAGCTGATTTAAAATGCGCTGTACTTAGGACCTGACCAGCGTGACAAGTACTGCAGTAATACAACAAAATAGGTCTGTCGTCACAAACAGACCTGGAGTGTGAGGTAATGGAATCTATCATTCATTCATTTGTTTTTGAATATAAAACCAAAAATAAGAAAATGAAAAAAAACAACAACAACTATTTTCTTCATTATTTGTCTCCAAAACTAAAATGAAAAAACAAATAATGATTTGTTGATTTCAGTTTTCGATTTTGTGTTTAAATTAATAACTGAAAAAACGGATAAAGGATGTTTCCCATTTACGTGACTTAAACTGAACCAGGTTCGGGACCAGGACCAGACCGGGACCAGACCGGGACCAGACCGGGACTGAGACCAGGACTGGGGCTGGGACCAGACTAGGACCAGACCAGGACCAGACCATGATTGAGACGGGGACTGACACCGGGACCGAAGCCAGGACCGAAGCCAGGACAGAGACCAAGACCAAGACCGGGACCGAGACCAGGATTGAGACCAGGACTGAAAACGGTTTAGTCCTGACTTAGTCCTGACTTAGTCCTGACTTAGTCCTGACTTAGTCCTGACTTAGTCCTTATGTGGTGAAAAAGTCCGGCATCACAGTTTAAGTCACATAAACGGGAAACAGTTGTTAACTGTTTTTTTCCTTTATTCATTTAAACACAAAATCGAAAACTGAAAAAATGAACTGTTATCAGTTTTTTCATTTTGGTTTTGGAGACAAATAATGAGGAAAATTTTACTTTTTTCGTTTTCTTATTTTTGCTTTAAATTAAAAAACGAATGAAGGAATGACACATGGATTTAACAGCTTTATAAAATGTCTAAAAGCTCACGAGAGTCAATTTTGAGTAATAGAAGACCTTTAAAATGTGCAAACTAACACGTGTTTGTGAGAATTTTGCAAGTATGTACAGGTAAGTGAATACACTGGTCATGCACTGGTCAGAAAGTACAGGGCGTATTAATAACATCGAACAGAGACAGACTGAAGTTGAGGTCTGATTATTTACGGTCCAGCCAAACGAAAGAGGCACATTCTAACGCCATACAACCCACACTATTTAAAACTACAGCCCCGTGCACGGAAATACACTGCATGTTGTGCAAGAAGCAGAGAGCAGAGAGTGTTTAAGCACTTCCCAACAACAACACTTAAAGTTAGACTGGGATGTACTTAAAATAATATTCACTACAGGATGTACCATCTCATTCAATGTTTGTTTTTTATCTTTATCTTTACTACTTTTTACATTTAATCTACTGTACATAGAGAAGACATCAGATATATGGAGTAAGATTTATTGCTGGGTTTCACATGACCTCATAATATTCTATAGACCAAACATGACAAACTCCGGCCCGGGAGCCAAATTTGGTCCTCGATATAATTATATTTGGCCTGCGAGATCAAATCAAATATGTATTAGAGCTGCCCGCCGGCTACAGATAGACTATAGAGACATTATTTATTTAAAATTTTGTTATTAGTTTATATTCTGCTTGTTCTGGATTCAATGTTTAAGCAAAACTATTAAACATTTATTTTAATAAGAAAAGGTTTAATATTACATATCTTGAAAGAAGAAAAAACATGCAGATGTTGATGAAATTTTTCAGTAAATATTTAATTTGGCCTACGACCCAGTTTTAACTTTGGTCCTCTGTGAATTTGAGTTTTACAGCCCTGATACAGATCAATGTTATTTAATACAGATGGGGGCAGCTAAAATCAATATTGTCCAAATGCAGATTTTTGTTGTAATACAATTTGGCCTTGGTTCTAGTCCAGATGTGGGCATTGTACAGCTCCTGGGCCACATATGACCCTTTGGTTAAGCTAATTTGGAATTACAAAATACATTTATTTTATAATTTTAACCTCATGCACGGACTAAAGCTGCATTGCTTTTATTTTAGAGGTGTTTTTATTACAATTTTATAAGGCAATCACACTTTTTCATTGCTTAGTCATAACACAAACTATTACCAGCTTGTCAAAACAATGATATTTACAGCTTTTTATAAAGCAATACAATTAATATTACGCAGAATTGAGGCCCTCCACATTTTTTTTCTGTTCCTTGTGTGGCCCCATGGAAAAAATAATTGCCCACCCCTCGTCTAGTCAGTGAGAGAAATAATCAGGTCCCATATTTGGGAATTTACTTTTCTGATATTTCAGGGCAAAGTACAAATGTAATTAACAGAAAAAACTGTCTCTTGCCTTCATCTGGAAGTATGATGCATTCACCTTCAAGAGTCTGAAAACCACTAACAGAATTACAAAAAAATCCAACCAAATATATAACAGACAATATTTTTTTTATTCAAATCCTCAAAATTGCCACCCTTTGCCTTGCTGGAGAATGTAACTTTTTATCTTCAGCTTTTTTTTTTTCATTACTACTCACGTCCTTGTATCTTGCATCATAAATTTGATGTCTTCTGTATCTAAACCAGTGATACTCAGAGTGGGGATCCCTGGGCCAAGCGCTGGAAGTCCCCCAAAAAGTGTGATAACAATGGATCATGACTTAAAAATATATATATATTTTTTTTTAAGTGATATGCAATCTCAAATATATAATGCTTTTGGCAACAGTTACACAAATTCATCCTTTAAAAAATTGTAATAAAAACATTCTAAATTCTGGATTGGAGGCAACTGGAGGCAAAGTGAAGTGGAACATTACATGATGTCAATGGGAAAACTGGGAAAAAAACAGTAAAATTTGGCAAATGAAAACCTCTCGGACACATGTGAGTGATACCAGAGCCCAGTTTAAAAACATTTACAATTGTGTTTTACGTTATTTGTTCATTTAAGACAAGATTATGATAGACACTAAGTATTTTGGACAAAGGTAAAGTCCAAAATTTTAGGTTTGACTTGACAAATCCTTACAGAAAAGTTGAGTCCACTACAGATTTTCAGTTCATCTACAGATATTTTGTCATAAATTATACTTTTTGTGAAACTCAAATACAATTTTGAGGTTAGAAATGTGTATTTTTAACAGAGAAGCAAATAAACTAAAACATGTACCTTGGAAATTCTAAACGGTTGAAGTAAAACCTTTGGTATTTAGATCTGCTCATTAGTTAGTCGCTGAAAATATTTTATGTCTGCTTCACTTTGTCTCCAGTTACCTCCATTCCAGATTTTATAACATTCTGATGACATAAGATTTTAAAGAGTCTATAAAATAAGGACAATGATAGTTAAATATTTTACCCAAATTAGGTTATAAATGTGGTTTGGACTTCGGGATTTTATTGCAATGCCATCGTAGGGGTCGTTGGGATGTTTTATTTTATTCCTTACCCTTATCGGATATTTATTTTCCAATAAAAAAGTTTGAGAATCACTAATCTAAACTGTAAAAAGTGGTAAAAATTAAGAAAAAGATGACATTTTTCTGCTCTCTGCTTCTGTGCTTGAACATACACAGACTCATACTTAGACTCACTGCGTGTTTTTAACGAGCGTGTGGATCATTTTACAGCCCTCGAGGGGAAAAGCACGATCCCAACGCGGTGACCGGGCCAAAAATCGACTTTCTATCTCTGCAGTGGAGCCGTGACAATTGAACCACGGGTCTGATCCAGTGATGTTACGTAATCCTATCTCTGGATATCTGAGACTATGATGACCGTGACTTTTCGGTTCAGACAAATCCAATACAAACGTTTGATATTCGTTACACACAGGACTTCAGCTCAGTCTGCCTCGTGTGGAGTACGAAAGATTTCAGAAATATTTGTGAGCATAGGATAGAAATTTGTGCATATTTGTGTATATTAGTGCTGCTTCTGTCCTGGTTTAGTCCTGGTTTAGTCCTGGTTTAGTCCTGGTTTAGTCCTGGTTTAGTCCTGCGATCAGTCCTGCGATCAGTCCTGCGATCAGTCCTGTTTTAGTCCCGGCTCAGTCCTGGTTAAAGTCCTGGGATTAGTCCTGGTTTAGTCCCGGTTCAGTCCCGGTTCAGTCGTATTTCAGTCGTGGTTCAGTCGTGGGATCAGTCCTGGGATCAGTCCGGGGATCAGTCCGGGGATCAGTCCGGGATCAGTCCGGGGATCAGTCGTGGAATCAGTCCTGTTTTAGTGCTGGTTCAGTCCGGGGATCAGTCCTGTTTTAGTCCTTGTTTTAGTCCTGGTTTAGTCCTCCAGGTTCAGTCCTTATTTTAGCCTTTTTTAAGTCCTGGGATCAGTCCTGGTTCAATCCTGCGATCAGTCCTATTTTAGTCCTAGTTCAGTCCTGTTTTAGTCCTGGTTTAGTCCTGTTTTAGTCCTGGTTCAGTCTGTGTGCGGCGCAAAAGTCCGGCATCTCGATCAATGTTTCTTCTGCTCAGAAAAGAATGCCAGTGAAGTGATGATGCATTTTTGACAGTAAAGTTGCATCTGTGAATTTGTATTCGTACTGACGAAACAGTAATCGTAAATTTTCATTTCGTGATTGTAATTCTTGTTGTCATAACGTTTTCAATTCGTGTTCTGATGGATAAAACACACACAACACATTTTATGTACGCCTGAACTCATTTGAGAGTTTAAGAATATTTATTTTATGCTCAACTACAGACAAATCTGCACGGATTTCCCAAATATGCATGGATTTCTACCCTACGCACACAAATATTTCTGAAAGCTTTCTTACTCCATAGTCTTGTTATTTACACATGATTCAACAGTGACAAGAAAAAATACATGAATGTAAATAGAAAATTAGCAAGCAAGCAAGAATGGCCCAATTGCTGGGTTTCAGATGACATCACAACATTCTATAGGCCAATCATATTTAAAGGAGCATTGTGTAACTTTTCTGGTGGAGGGTCCGTCGAATGCTTGTCACCACAGAGATGTTATTGCTTTGTCTGGAATGTTTCACAGAATGGTATTAAACCTTTCTATTTTCATGGAGACCAAACCAAGTTACAGGTCAGATCTGTGGAGAGGCGACCCTGCTCACAGTCTCAATGTCTTTTTTCTTGGTATTTTTGAGCTATAAAACCACCTTCAAATTAATAAATGTAAAGTTAGGGCTGAACGATTTTAAGAAAAAATTGAATTGCGATTTTTCTTGGTAGATATTGCGATTTCGATTTCATCCACAATTTTGTTTTCAAATCAAGTTTTAGTGCACATGAACATTTGCAAACATCACAGAAACCGACGATTTGCGCACATTTGTTTACGTTTTATAGAATTTAAACTTAAAACCACATGACTAATTTGCATAAACTATAAGCGCTGAAAAAAACAGCTCGCTCCTTGTGCTGCTGAAGCAGTTCAGCTTCTGTCGGACTAAAGGACACGACTTAGTGGAATATGAGTGTTCTTTCTGTGTCAGAGGATGTGCTGATGATGGTGAGTCTGTTTTGTGCTTCTGTCGCATTGGAGATGGTCATATTAATCTTTACACAAACGCCAGGGTTAAATCCTCGCCTCCTTGCATTGTGGAGGTGAATTACTATGCAGCGCCAGACCTCGACAGTGACCCATAAATCAAAAACGACAAGGCAACGGCAGCATTGTACGCTGAGTCGACGCAGAACTAGACTTCGCCGTTAAAATTGGGCTTTAGGAGCACTGCAAAAAAACTCGGCTTTGACACTCTCAAAATCGTGTTGTCTGAGATCGCGATTTTCAGTCCAAAAAGATTGATCGTTCAGCAGCACCAGACCTCGACACTGACCCATAAATCAAAAACGACGGAGACAAGGCAACAGCGGCAGTGTACGTTGAGTCGTTGCAGAACTAATCTTCGCTCTTAAAAGTGGACTTTAGGAGCACTCCAAAAAAAAAAACTCGGCTTTGACACTCCAGAAATCGTGTTGTCTGAGATCACGATTTTCGGTCCAAAAAGATTGATCATTCAGCGGCGCCAGACCTCAACACTGACCCATAAATCAAAAACGATGGCGACAAGGCGACTGTGGGAGCATACGTTGAGTTGTCGTTGAACTAAACTTCGTCGTTAAAATTGGGCTTTAAGAGCTCTGCAAAAAAACTCTGCTTTGACGCTCCAGAAATCGCGTTGTCTGAGATTGCGATTTTCGGTCCAAAACAATAGATCGTTCAGCCCTATGTAAAGTAGATCCATTTAATGCCATACTGTGGAACATTCCAGGCAGAGCAGTGACATATCCACAGAAACAAGCAGGTGACGGACCTCCAAGCACAAAGTTACACAGTGCAGCTTTAATACAGATGGGGGCAGCTAAAATAAATATTCTGAAAAGGCAGATTTCTGTTGTGATAAAGTGAGTTCTTGGGTCTAGTCACTAATAATGACAAGATTCAACATTTGTGAATTCACTTTTCAGATATTTAATGGTAAAGTACAATGTTATTAATTGTAAAATCCATCTCTAGCGCCCCCATCTGGTAGTATGACATCAGCACATCATAGAATCTGAAAACCACCAACAGAATGTACCTGGTGACGAGCATGTGAGTTCCGGCGTCCGCGGCTAAACAGATGAGTGAAGCAAAGGGAGAGAAGAGAGAGAGAGAGATGGAAAGGATGGAAGGGATGGAAGAGGAGAGAAAAAAGCAAGACCCAAGTTAGCACCACAGAAACTGCTCACCAAAAGCTCCACCAAGAACATCGCAGACCCCATCGCAGTCTGGCATCTACACTGGCATCTACACTCACTAGAGACGCCACTATATCAAAATCTGCAGTATTTTGAGTATTTTCATTTCAGTATTTTAATTTTAAGTATTACAATGAGTAGAAAGATAGATTTTTACATTTGTTATTCATTATTATTGACGTAAAACATGTCCAAAGATCTATTTACTTAAATTCACAATGCCAGTAATGGTATCGAAATATTTTGGTGCAGATATTGAAAATTTTGGTGGATCAGATATCGATTTACTGGCCAATGTTGTCCAAAACGTAATATATAATATTACATTAAACATAATATTAATTTTTTTTTACAGAGCAATTCCATAGTTTAAATGATAAATAATAGTTCTAAAACCCATTTGGATTTTTTTTTTTTTTTACCCAAGGCTCTGTTTGTGTTTAAAGGAAATTTTCAGTCTCAGTTGAAATCAGGTATCGGCAAATATTCAAACCCCAAGTATCGATATCGGAACAGAAAAAGCTGGATCAGTGCATCCCTAGTTTGTGATCAGCTTTATCAGTTTTTAATCAATCTTTCTGACTGATAAAGTTGGTGAAGAGTCTGCAAGCTGCTCGTCTCCGTGGAGATGTTGTCCTACAATGTTTCACCGTATGGCATTAAACTTAAATCTATTTTCATGACAAGACAAGCAGATGATGTCTCCAGGCCAGATTACAGGCCAGATCTATGGAGAAGTAACCCCATTCACTGTAGTGTTTTTGAGCTATAAAAACACCGGTAATGAATAGGGGTGGATATCCAAGTCTCGGTATGACCCTCACGGTACGATATTTATTGCGATATCGTGGAAAAGCTCACGATATTACGATATTATACATAATAACAAGACTGACATTATAAAATGGTTTGACCAGTCATTTGGTGCAACATTTATTGTCATATTCTAGGGATGTAACAATATCCAAATCTCATGGTACAATATTTATTGCAATATTTTGAAGATGCAAAAAATTAAAGATGGGACACTTTTTTGCTTTTAAAATACCTTGTCAAGATTTTGGTGTGAATTATTACTGTCATAATCTCAAGAATTCAAGTAAATTAATCTGAAATGAATCATGGGATATGTAGTTTCTGATGTTTATAAGCTGTTGCTTCTATAAATCCTGCATTTAAGCAAAGAAATTTGTGATTCGATATATTGTGACAACCCACGATATTATTGTGGAACTTTTGACAAAAAGATATCACAATATTTATGTATTTGTTAGATCCCTAGTAACTAATTAAATGCTTTTTATACTTCCATGAGTGCACCTTGCTATTATTTGTTTTTACATTATTACTGTAACTTGTACAATAATAAATAATTATAATAAAGCTGAAATAAAAAATGTTTCAGTCTCTGCCCTGGTATTGATAGCGGGTATCAGCAGATATCTAAAGCAAAAGTATCGACATCGGCCCAGAAAAAGCCAGATCAGTTCCAATTATGTGATCAGCTTTATGAAAATGAATCGTTCTGAATGATAAAGTTACAGTGAAATTAACATGGCAGCTTAAAATGCTGTTTATATTTGCACTTGTAACCATTGCATTCAAGCAGGTGATGCCTCCGAGACAAATTACAGGTCAGATCTGTGGAGAACTGACTCATAGAGGAACTTTTGAGCAATAAAAACACCAGTAATTGATTAAATGCACGATAAATAAGTTTAATGCCATATTGTGGAGGATTCTATCGCCATAGAGACAAGCAGATAGAGACCACAGCCAAAAAAGTAACATGGTTCATTTTTATTTCTTATGGTTTTTATGGGTTTTATTGTGTCTTGTATAATAAAGAGCATAAATAAAATGAGGAATCCTGATTTCCCTACTGGATTTAATCTGGTATCTGCTCAACTGTTATTTCTCCAGCTCATTTTAAAGCGGCGCGGGCCCCGAGTCCGGAGGAGTCTAAAATATCTCCTCCCTGAACAGTTGGGCGATGCCAGGTCAGCAGTAAGTCAGAGGAGCTGACGGAGACAAACGTTTACCCCCTCAATGCCCCCTGAATGCCCTCCTCACCACCAATCTATCAAACCCACCCCAGAGTCTGCGGACAGAGTTTATAAGGACAGACCCGAGAAACCAGCTCAGAAATATATTATTGTTCCTCTGTTGAAAGATAAATTACAGCGTGGATGTCCTGAAAAGACCCGATACCAAAATGGGCAGGCAGCAGCAGGAGCGGGACAGAGAATAGATAGCAGAGGCGGCTTCAGATTGGCAGGGTTTGGTTTTTTGTACCTTGATAAATGACTCCAAATTTCCATTAAATAATCTAACATTAAAAACCGAGCGGGGTCTGGGCCTACGGGTGCCCGGCAGCGTTCTGAAAGCCCCGTTTGGGTGTCTACAAATACAACAATACAAACAGAGCAAACACAATCAAGCCAATTCATTACAAGGGATTTCAAATACTAATATCCAATCGTTTAAAGGGCCCATATTACACAAACACACCTGGAGTTGAGGTTTGTTTCATTCACACATGTTTAGAACACAAAATATTGAGTTCTTCTCTCAAACTGAAAACACTCTGCTCCATTTTATGATGTCATGTGGTAATACAGGAAGCTCTACTGCCTTTTTAAACTCCAATCAATCAATGAACCTGCCCAGGGACGACAGGTGGAAATTAGCACTGATACTACAACCTGGAACAATGCATCTCTCCTGTTAAGGTTAATGTCAAAATTGGGCAATGTCCCTGTCTCATTAAGTAAATAAATAAATAAATAAATAAATAAACTTTATACTCAGAAGAGTTGTTTGAATATTTTCAGATCTGGAATTGCAAATCTCTACTGAACTAAAAGTAGGTATCTGCTAAATTGAAATCTACCGCTTCATGACATCATAAGGTGGACCAGAGCATATTGATCTTTGGAGATGTAGATAGACTAATAATACAGGATTATTTAAAGATGTGTGAATGAAATAAAACACAACTCCAGGTCTGTTTTTTGATGATGTAACAACATTAAATCATGGCTAAAAGCTCAAGAGATAATATAGAGTATATATTGTGTAATACAGGACCTTTAAGAAAGTTAAGGATAAGTGAGCAGGTCTTTTTAAAAAAATGCCTCAGGTGACAGGTTCAGATAAAGGGCAGAATCTTATAATGAATCTTATAGTAAAATAATGTAATAAATGTGTTCATTATGTATTATAAATGATATAAAATGTACCTGTAAATGGGTTCAGATCAGTTACAAACATGCTGTTAGGTTTCTGTTCATTTTCCAATTATTGCTGCTGGTTATCTAGGATTAGGTGAGCTTGTGTCATTTCAGCTGAATTTTTGTGTTTTAGCATTTACATTTCAGCTAAATTGTGTTTTCATCATTAATAAACAGATTTTTAAAAATTATTGTTGTTACAGATGCTAATGAAAGACAAAAATGGACATCTGTGTAATTCCCAGTGTGTGTGTTTGTGCATTACCTTGTGGTCATGTAGCCCACTCTGTGGCTTTTGTGTGTGTGTGTGTGTGTGTGTGTGCGGTACCTTGTGGTCATTAGAGGTGTGCAAATATATTGAAATATCAATGTGTCCTATCATTTAATGTGCTGAAACTTCTGACATAGTCACTGTTTTGATTAAAACTGGGTATCATTAAGAAGTTGCCGATATGATACATAGGCCACGATACGATACATATCTCGATACAGTGAGCTTTCGATTTGATACGATATATTTCAAATCAATTTGATATAGTTCAATAAAAACTATTTCTAAATCATGGCTGTGATAATAAAAGTCTTTCTTAAACCACTTCTTGTGCAAAGTTAATGTGAAACACAAACATTTTACTCATCAAAACAGTGAAAATATCAAATGTGTTGCAGAAATGAGTTTCCTTCCACTAAACAAACAACAGAACTGCAGTTGTAACAAAATAATATAGTAAAATACTCTTGGCCATATATCAATACAGCAGAACACCATATCAATCCTGAATCATCACTTTAACCGATATATTGATATTTTGATATTTTTGCACACCCCTAGTTTTGATGATTAAAATGTTTGTGTTTCATTTTCACTTTACTCAAGAAGAAGGGGTTTAACAAAGACTTTTAGTATCACAGCCATGATTTAGCCTTTACTTTTTATTGAACTGTATCAAATCAATTTCAAATATATCATATCAACCTGTGAAAGTGCACTGTATCGAGGTATGTATCGTATCAGCAACTTCTTATTGATATCCAGGCCTAGTGGTCATGCAGTCATCTCTGTGGCCTGTCTGTGTGTGTGTCTGTATGTATGTGGGTACATGTGTGCGTTTCCTTCTCGTCATAAGGGATGTGCAAAAATAACTTTAAATTAATTATTATGTTACAGCGCTACAGTTTTGTTGCTTGTTTAGTGAAAGGAAACTTGTTCATGCATCACATTTAACATTTTCACAGTTTTGAGGATTAAAATGTTTGTGTTTCATATTCACTTTGCACAAGAAGTGGTTTAACAAAGACTTTAGTATCACTTTTAGCCTTTATTTTTTACTGAACCGTATAGAAACATCATATCGAACTGAAAGTGCACTGTATCGAGATGTGTATCGTATCATGTGTGTGTTTGTGCGTTACCTCGTCTTCATGTAGTCAGCTCTGTGTCCTGCGTGTGTGTATATATATGTATGTACATGTGTGTGTGTGTGTGCGTTACCTTGTGGTCATGTAGTCAGCTCTGTGGCCTGTGTGTGTGTATGTAAGTGTATGTACGTGTGTGTGTTTGTGCGTTACCTCGTGGTCATGTAGTCAGCTCTGTGGCCTGCGGGGGGAGAGCAGAGTTAGAGCAGAGTTAAATGTTTGGACATGCAGAGTCCCGTCCTCTGGTCTCTGTGGAGCTGTGCATTCGCTCAGATGAGCATTTACACCAGGCCAGCTGTCCCTCACGACTGGTCCCCACAACACAAACTTTCACTTCAGACTCCTCCAACCGCTTCATAATTGTACAATAAACAAACTTCACAGACACAATATTGTATAATCCAGTCTGTAGTCACTAATGATTACGCCGGCTTCAAGACAAGGCAGGTTAAACGGTCCATGTTACACTATTTTCTGATCTATGTTCTAATGTTTTTTCTTCAAACAAACATATCTGGAGTTGAGTTTTGTTTCATTCACACATGTTTAACGCATAAAACCTGCATATTTAGGTTCTTAAGTTATTCCAACATGAGTGAATGAAACAAAACACAACTCCTGGTATGTTTTTGAGAAGATAACAGCATTATAACATGGAATTTTACGCTATATAACAATATTTTTGATGGCATTTTTGTTTCTGTAAGCTCCCTTCTTGTTCTTTTAAATAGTTTACTTTTCCTTCCTCCTTTTTTCTTTTTTGTTCCAAAATTAGAAAAATCACATTTGAACTGGAAATCTGTAATATGTAAATTTAGCTCTTTCCAAAAAAAAAAATAAAAAATAAATAAATAAAAATAAAATACTACTACTACTACTACTACTACTACTACTACTACTACTACTACTACTACTACTACTACTACTACTACTACTACTACTACTACTACTACTACTACTAGAACCAATTTTGCACAATATAGGACCTTTAAAGATGCACGGTGTAACATTTCTGCTAGAGGATCCACCACTTTTTTTCTGGAATATTCTACAGTATGGCATTTAATTTAACTATCACCATGGAGACAATGAGGACACATCACCATGGCAAGTTACGGGTCAGATCTGTGGAGAAGTTGGCAGTCTTACATTAAGAATTTATGTTTTTTACGATAGTTTTGAGAAATAAAAACACTCAAATTGAATCAACTCAAGATATAGCTGTTTAATGCCACACTGTGTTACATCCCAAGCAATAACATCACCATGGAGACAATGAGGACACATCACCATGGCAAGTTACGGGTCAGACCTGTGGAGAACTTTGCCCTGTTACAGTAAGAATTCATGTTTTTATGATAGCTAAAATTGAAAAAACTCAAGATATATTTGTTTAATGCCACACTGTGTTACATCCCAAGGAATAACATCACCCTGGAGACAAGAAACCCCAACAGAAAAGTTACACACTGTTGCACGTTTAGAGTAAAACAGCTTCTAAATGTAAAACCATCTGTTCCAAAGACAGGACCCAACCTGCGTCCGTGCACGATTCATACTTTGACAAGAATATGATTAAGTATAGGCCCACCCTCCTCTCTTCTTTCTTTTTAAAGCACAGACCCCTTTCATTAAGCGTGCCGAGACCACCGGGCGGTCAGACCACTGAGTGACACACGCTGTAGATTTGCCCAGGCCTGGAGCTGATCCCGCCGGTGTAAGAGGAGGGAGGTAATCACCAGTATCCCCTTTAATGCACAGCAGTCCATTAAGTTAGGAGCAAATCAATCACTAAGACGGATAATAGAGCCCACAATCCCCCTCAGCTGTTGGCCAGGCTCGCTCAAACTCGCATCAGCTTTGAAGGCAAAAACAATGAGGAGATTTGTCAAAGGAAAACAACAAAATTAAAACAGATTGCCTGATTAAAGCCTGTGCTCCTTTCAGAACTTTCTTGGAATAATCATTCTACCAAATATCAAATTTCAAAGGTTTGCAAAAAAAATGTAGGAAGAGTTTGGAGCTCAAAAGTGACAGCCGACCCCCCGGTTCCACAAGTACATTTTTCATTCATTTTTCTTATAGACTTTCCAAAAAAATGAATATTAATGTTAGTTCAAAATCTTCCTCAAGCATAATCCGATACATAGCGACTAATGTCCACAGTTTTATTTAAAATCTGTTTCTGAAACTTTATAAACTCCTAAGTTATTAAAGAATTTCACAGAATCTAGTGTTTTAAATGTGATTTGTGGACACTGTGTAACTTTTCTGGTGGAGGATTTGCCCGAGATGTTATTACTTTGCCCAGAATATTCCACAGTAGGGCATTAAACATATCTCCCTTGTATCTGTTGACTGTTTTATAGCTCAGAAATACCTTAAAATAATAGAAATACCATATGGAGACTTGCTTCTCCATAGATCTGACCATTAACCTGTCTTCACTGTGGTTACATTGTGGTTAAGTTTATTTCCATACAGTGGAAAAATCAAGGCAAAGCAGTAATATCTCCATGGAGACAGACAGGTGGAGGACACTCGACAAGAAAAGTTACACAGTTAACCTTTAAAACTACAGCGTTATAGATATTAGTTAGCATCAGGGTTCGCTCTCTTTTTCACGGACAAAATTTCAAAACTTTTCCATGACAATTTCATGACCTAAAGTGAATTTTCCATGACTTTACAGCACCTACATGTGTAGAATTGATCAGACTTTTAGGGCTAAATATGAAATGTTAACTCTTTCCACTCACCTTATGGTTTGATATTATAGTTTTTAACATTCAAAATACTGTCAGTGCATTTATTGTCGTCTCTTTTAAACAAAAGGTGCAGACGTTCGAAAATAATCATAATAGTCTAATGAGAACTTAACAGAACGCTGTAGTTTTGTGAAAGAGATACTAAAATTCCATGACTTTTCCAAAACTTTGATTGAATTTACAAAATTCCTTGACATTTCCAGGCCTGGACGATGACATTTTCAATTTCCATGAGTTTTCCAGGCTTTCCATGACCGTAGGAACCCTGTAGCATGTAGCTGCTTAGTGTTCACGATGTCCTAAAGGTGCATTGTGTAACTTTTTGGGGTCCGTCACCACCTTGTTTCTATGGATATATCATTGCTCTGCCTGGAATGTTCCACAATATGACATTAAACAGCTCTGTCTTATTATGATTAAATTAAAATAAAGTGGTTTTACAGCTCAAAAATACCTAGAAAAACAACTGAGCGGGGTCGCCTCTCCACAGATCTGACCTGGAACTTGGTCTGGTTTGGTCTCCATGAAGATAGAAAGGTTTAATACCATACTGTGAAACATTCCAGACAAAGAAATAACATCTCCATGGAGAAAAGCATTTGACAGACCCTCCACCGGAAAAGTTACAGAATTCTTCTTTTACATTTGCCATTATAATCTATGGGAAAAATGAATGTGAAATGTACTTATGGAACCAGAGTGAGTTGTCCTCGTTGAACTCCGCTAGACTTGAGTCATAAATAACGTTACCTTCTCCCAGAGTCCTCTTTAACAGGTCGTGTTTGGCCTGCAGTTTGGCGATGAGGTTACTGCCCTCCAGAAACTCGCGGAATTTCTGTGGAGAGAATTTTACGCAGTGAGTCCAAGGCTGAGGAACAGGGCGTCTTAAATCAGAAAATCTACAATACGGCGTCAAGGGCAGAGGAAGCGTTTAGAGAGGTTTATCTGAGCGTGACCATCTACAGACCGGAGAGCCCCAGAAAAAAGACACTGGGAGAACATTTACGCGGTTGTGAGAATATAGAAATTAATCACAATAGTATAGATATTCTACTCTGAATGGTTACCTCACCGTCTTTATTTCTGTGATCTAAAGTCCTCTAGCAAAATAAAATTGTGTAGAAATAATTATATGAAAAATTAGGCTCGCTAAACTGTATGAAATTTGTAGAGAGGGTTTAAACAAAGTACTCATGGATCTAAATGTATGTCAAATATATACACTACCGGTCAAAAGTTTTAGAACACGACATTTTATCCAGTTTTTTACCGTTTACTAGGGGTGTAACGATATGCAAGTCTCACAACACAATATCGTCACAGTATGAACATCACGGTACAATATTTATTGCGATATCGTGGGGGATGTAACAATATAAAAATTTCTCGGTACGATATTTTCACGATATACATCTTACGGTACGATATTTGTTGCGATATTTTGTGGAGGCAAACAAAACAAGACTTAATTCAAAGAACTAAGACTTAAAAGCACTCAGAACTGTTGTTTCTTCTTGTAGTCTACACTGAAATGCAGCAAAGGATCATGGTCTATGTAGTTCCCTCTGTCTTTTTTTAGCAACTGCATAGCTACAACGTTTCCTCATCAAAAACAGACCTGGAGTTGTGTTTTGTTTCATTCACACATGTTTAATACACATATTATACAGATTTAAGCCGAGTTTTTCTTTCAAACTGAAAACACTCTCTTCCACCTTGTCATGTGGTAACACGAAAAGTGCTCCACTGTGTTTTTAAACTTCACACACCTTCACTAGAATAATTTGGGGATGATTTCAGCCCTGGAATTGCCAATTTCTACTGAAGTAAGGGTAAAAAGTTGCTGTTAACTTGAAAGCTACAGCTTCATGACATCACAAGGTGGAACAGACTCTGCGTTTGATTATCTTTCCGAATTGGTTTTCCGAGGAAGTTGCCAAGCGACACGAGTGAGCCCCTTTTCCTGGGACAGTGTGACTTGGACCTCAGTGGCGAAAAAGTAGACCGAGCAAGGATTCAGAGTTAGAGTTCGAGATGGCTGCGCCCGTTGTAATGTGTAAATATTAAGTGTTTTCATTGTGTTTGGACACTTTGGTGGTTTAAATGACATTAAACCTCGTATCACTGCAGTACCTCACCGTGTTTGTATCACTGCCTGTGGGTTTGGTAGTCGGTGTTGTATTCAGGCTGGCGCCACCTAGTGCCTCCACTCAATTTAATTTCTCTCTAGCGACTAGGTCAGGAATAAGAATACAATAGACGGTTCGCAAAAAAAACCCCGGAAGTGCACATTCGGGCACCAGCCAATCAGCAAAGAGCCACACATTCTGTTTTGGTAATGATTCCCAAGATCAAGGATTTAAAACCAAAATAAAGAGAATGTTTGGTGAATTTTATCAAGACGTAATTGTCCTTCTTCCTACAGGATTTGGGAAAATATTTATTATACCAGTTAGCCCCATTAGCAGCGCATTACATACCAAATAAATTACATTCCAAATAGCAGCAACTAGTTAAATGATAAAAAGTACCCGCCTAAAGTCGAGTGAACGAATTTTAACACTGTGAGGTCAGACGGTTTCAACGAAGTGAAACCGGCTGATGAATCAGGCTAGTGGTGAGGCCAATACTGAACAAATACTTGAAGCAACGGACAATAATGTCCCTAAGGTTGTAACGGAAGAGAAATCATAACATAAAATTAAGAGCAAATTTCAAAAGTTAAATTAATTAAAGTGGCAGTGTTTTCATAAGATGAGGGAATAGTCAGGATCATAATCCATGTAGTCTGACACACGAAAATTAATGATACACTTCAAGCTCGGACGTGACGCCAAATCCAAGGTCCAGGTGGGACCTCGGACACAGAAAGAGCATTCTGAGCTTTGTATTTGTAGACAGACCAATACAGTGTGCCTCCAGGTATGTTTTTGATGAGGTAACAGCATTATAACATGGCTTAAAGCTCAAGTTCGTCTAATACATGACCTTTACGAAGTATGTAAAAACACTGTAGTTAAGTCAGAGTTATAGAGTGGTTTTTATATTAGTTTAGGTGTCCTGCTGAAATGTTAATGGTACTGGATGAGTTTCAGTTCCAGTTACACAGTGAACTTATTCATAATGCACCAAAACAGAAAAATCAGTTTGATATTTTCCAAACATTACTACACCCAAAAAATAAGAATAAGTGCTTTGTGTGGACTGACCATGAAGTAGAACTGCTCCGTCTCTTGCTGGTTGGCCCTCCTCTTCGCAATGCTCGGTTTGCTCAGATAGGTCTCGGACACTGTAGACTTCACCGACTCCGTGGAGCGGCTGTGGTGAAAGCACTCGGACACGTCATAGTCTTCGATAGTCACCATGTCCTGGATCGTGGTAAGCGTAGCCTCCGATGTTTTCTTAATCTGGACACAGAAACGCACAGAGATGAGATGGGGGAGGGGGTTTGGTGAAGCATCACCTGCCTTAAAAGCTGGATGTCATCACCACATACTCAGCCCCTTGTATCATCGCACTCCCTAAAACCTCTGTCCGGAGACACTCTTGAGAGACCCAAGTGTTTTCTGATGAGTTACAGGCTCTGGAAATAGAAACCCACCAGCCCTGGAAGTCGGTTCTAAGGTTTTAAGCAATCGAGAATTTATGGAAAAGCAAGGAGACGACAGTAGCTCAGTATTTGTGCGAAGGTTGTCACTTCGAATGCCAGTCGAATCACTGACTTGATCATCATAGGTTGAGTGGTCAGATATGTGCTTTGGCAGAATTAGGGGTGTGCAAAAATATTGAAATATCGATATATATTGTGTCGTTTAATGTGATGATACAGTAAAAATATCGTGGGCTGCTGTATCGATATATCACCAAGAGTATTTTTGGGTATATTTTACTGAATTATTTTAGTTTTGTTACTTGTTTAGAGGGAAGAAACTCGTTCATGCAACACATTTGATATTTTCACTGTTTTGAGGATTAAAATATGCGTGTTTCATATTAACTTTGCAGAAAAAATGGTTTAACAAAGACTTTTAGTATCACAGGCTTTATTTTTTAATCAATAATCAATTTAATGTTTCGTACTAAATCATAAACTCACTGTATCGAGATATGTATCTTATCATGGCCAATGTACCGAGGTATGTAACGTATCGACAACTTCTGAATGATGTCCAGCCCTATTTACCATGGAGACACAATGCATGCATTAGAAAACGCTGTTAAAAAGTTTTAAGATCGATTGAAAACTCAAGACAAAATACAAAATGGATTGTGCTGGATTTAAGCAGCACATTTTCAGGAGCCTGTGATCAATACAAGGCTTCATGGTCCTGTTTAATAGTTTGATTTTCAACAAAAAGGTGAGAATGACTAACTGAAAAACAGTTGGCTAATGATATCTTGTGACTGTAATTTCACACGAGAAAGCACGAATTGTCTCACCTGTTGTAGCTTCAACTAAGTCAGTTCTTTCTGGTCAGATTAAAGTCTAACAAAGCCTCAGACAGAGCAGTGCCTATAGTTAGCATCACACCCCCAGGGAATGTTGACGATATCAGCTGCACAGTGACAATTTACAGGTGCTCTATGTCACCTTTCTTTCTGTTTTCTGTTTCTGAGTCTACCAGATGCTCGTCTCTCTGGAGATGTTAAACTTTGCCTGGAAGTGAAATATTCCAGACAAGAAAGTGAAGCCAAAAGGTCAAGTTACAGGTCAGATCTGTGGACGGGAAGAATGTATGTTCCGATGTATTTTAACAATAAAGCGTAAAATGGGCTCTATTCACGCTTAGGTCACAAAACCTAACCATAACGTTTTTGATAGTAACTCTGGGAAAACCGAGAAACCGGCTTGGTTTTCTTCATCTAGATGCAACCGTATTCCTTCTTTTTTCCCTTTGCCTATTAATTTGTGTATTATAATTTATCTCACTTCATTAAACAAGTGTATTAGAGGGAAAAAAGACAGAAAATAGATCTGTTTAATCAAAGATGGCACCTGCTGAAAACATACTTGGGAGTGTGATGTTTTAGACCCGTAATCTTTTTCATTTTTTAAATTTATTATCTTTTTATTTTATTATCTTCTTTTAATTATTATATATATCTTAATCTTTTTTTTTTAAATTTTATTTATTTTATTATCTTGGTTATTATTACTTTAACGCTTTACTTCTGAAGTGCTCACAAGGATGTACATGTTATAATATATACTGCACATGTATTGGAATATGTATAGTGCACCTGTAAAGATATTTTAATATTCTTGTCTCAGGAAAAGTTTTAAATTTTTTTTAATTTTTTTGTGTTTTTTATGTTGTGTGAAAATGAAACTGAAAATAAAAAGTAAAAAAAAAAAAAAAAAAAAATATCTGTCTATCTTAATAAAAAAAAATTTAAAAAAAGTCAGTGTAGTGTTCCGTTATGTTCAGCAGATCAACAGTTACAACCAGCTGCGTGTAAGTGAAACTGAAGACACGATCAGAGTCACGTCCCTCATGGAAAGCTTTGGCAGGTTGTTAAATCCACTGCTTCTGCTGAATCCATGGTTTTATCACATTCCCAGTCTCGGCAACTACACCAGAAGTCATCATCCGCATGTTTCTAAATGTCTTCCAGTAAGCGTGAACAGAGCTTATTGAGTCAGTGTTAGATGTTTAATACACTGGAAAAAAAAACAATATCCAGGGAACTTAAAATGACTTGAATTAAGAGCATTTTACTTTATTTGAGTCGATTCAACTTGACACGTAAAATGATCTACCAATGGAATAAGTGTGTTTTTCTTAATTTGAGCAACATTAAATTTTGTTTCCACTGTTGGGCAAGTTACTTCAAAACTGTAATGTGTTATTTATGACTTATTACTGTCATTTCAAAGTAATTCGTTACATTACAAGATTACTGTGTTTAAAATGTAAAACATTACACGACTAATGCAGCACATTTAAGTTACTCTCATCAAAATAACTGCGAAGATGCTGAACTTTTGCACCGTATATGGACTGAACCAGGACTAAACCAGGTCTAAACCAAAACTGAACCACAGCTGAACCTGGACTGAACCAAGACTAAACTAGGTCTAAACCAGGACTAAACTAGGTCTAAACCAGGACTGAACCAGGACTGAACCAGGACTGAACCAGAGCTGAACCAGGACTGAACCAGTTCTAAACCAGAACTGAACCAGGTCTAAACCAGGTGTAAACAAGGACTAAACCAGGCCTAAACCAGGTCTAAACCAGGACTAAACCAAAACTGAACCAGAGCTGAACCTGGACTGAACCAAGACTAAACTAGGTCTAAACCAGGACTGAACCGAGGACTGAACCAGGACTAAACTAGGTCTAAACCAGGTCTAAACTAGGACTAAACTAGGACTAAACCAGGTCTAAATCAGAGCTGAGCCAGGACTGAACCAGGTCTAAACCAGAACTGAACCAGATCTAAACCAGGTCTAAACTAGGACTAAACCAGAGCTGAACCAGGACTGAAAGAGGTCTAAACCAGAACTGAACCAGAACTGAACCAGGACTAAACTAGGACTAAACCAGAGTTGAACCAGGACTGAAACAGGTCTAAACCAGAACTGAACCAGGACTAAACCAGGACTAATCTTGGACTAGAACTTGCAATCTAGGACCGCCCCTGACAGTAACCCAAGTCCGTGGAACAGGGTGTCTGCAAGGCACAATTGGGCGTCAGCTGCGATTAGCCCCGTGGAGCGTGGAGTTCTGCGCTGGTCCTTTTGCTCGCGGTCACCTGACGGTCTACGTGGGCACATCTCCATTTCACCGCTGCTGATATTGCAGTAATTTTAGCGAATTTGTATGAAGAAAAACCCACCACTTCAATCCAGGTTAAAATCCATTGTGACACGTGTTACTGACATTTGTAACGAGTAAAAGATTACTATATTTTTTTCTCTGTAATGCCGAACATTACTGCTTTACAGCAAAAAGCAATGGATTACAGTAATTCATTACTTTTATAACACGTTACTCCCAACACTGTTTTGTATTTTAAGTGCAAAAAGATGATATTTTTCTTATTTTAAGTGTAGTAAGAAGTAGTTTCATATTGTAAGTACAAAAAGTCTTTACACTGGCAGATAATTTTACTTTACTTAATTTACTCAAATCATAATCAAAATCTCTTAACTTGACTAGATTTTGTTTTTTGCAGTGTATTAGTTTAACATCTCAAGCGGAGCAATAACATCGCTATGGAGACAAGCAGGGAGCCGACCCAACAAATTCCACGCAATACTATATTCAAATACTAATAATAAAGACTAGAACCTTTGAGATGAAAACAAAATGCTACAACCACAATTCTTAACGTAACGTAAAAAGTAAAATAACGTCTAAACTAACATTCAATTGAAAAACAGCTTGAATGGTTTCTGCGTACGACATACAGGACATGGCTTAATTACGTGCTTTAAAAATGGGGTCCAGCGCAGGTCAATGGAGTGGTTGAGTGAGACACAGCTGGACTCTCCTCTAATTAAGTTTGATGTTGAGGAGCCCCCCTCAAAGGCTGTGACCCCAGATCTACACAGAACAGCCGGTCAATACAAAAGACCGTGTAGTATTGTGTGTTGTGGGAGTTTACACAGAAAAGACTACAATTTAATTAGCCTTAAAGGTGCATTGTGTAACTTATCCGGTGGAGGGTCCGTTAAAATGCTTTTCTCCATGGCGAATTGATGTTTTTGCTTTGTCTGGAATGTTTCACGGTATGGCATTGAACCTTTCTATCATCGTGGAGACCAAAACAGATCAAGTTACAGGTCAGATCTCACAGTCAGAGCGCCTGTTTTCTACGTATTTCTGAGCTTTAAAACCACTTGTAATTGAATAAAAGTAAGATAGCGCTGTTTAATGTCACACTGTGGAACATTTGAAGCAGAGAAGTGACATAAGCGTACAAACAAGCACGTGACGGACCATCTGCCCGTCGCCTAAGGTCCACCAGCCGAAACTTACTTATGGTGCCTCAGACAAGTTTTAAAACATGAGATCGCGACAGATCCTTTCAAGCCGTCTCTCCTAAACTCTTACCTCTCTAGATAATTGTTTCCCAAAGACTGGCAGGTGTGTCGCAGGAGATTTTTTTTGGGGTCACCTTGTCACGATCTGCATGTAGGTCTTGACTATTTTGTTCCAATATTGCTGGTTCAATTGAATGTTGAAAAGAAAAAGAAATGGGCTACATTTAATGTCCAAATAGGCGACTTATGGATCCTTTTATTGCTCGTTCAATTACTGTTTATCATTGTTTAAACTTGAGTAATACTAATTGTTCAGAGAGACACGATCACTCAGTCAACAATAAAATATCCACCTTTATTTTGTGATTTATCAATAATATTTATTGACTTGGGTCATGAAGATTTGTGACTTTT